CGCGGCGCGGTGCAGCGCAGCATGGCGCGGCACAGGAACGTACCCGACAAGCCCGCGGAAGGTGCTGGGCGGCCCTGCCGCACGTCGAGGTGTTGCCAGGCGTGACGCGGGACTCGGGACCCTTGCTGCACGGGGGGTCTCGGGGGCCCGCACAGGGCCTGCCCCGAGGGCTGCTGTGCCCCTCGCCTGCCCCGGAGCCCAGGCGCGATCCAGGCGGTGCTGCCCCTCACCTGGACCCTCCGTCTGCTAACGAAGCCTGGCCGGTCCTGGCTGGTGCTGGGCACCACTCAAGGACTGGTCCCAGCTGCCCCATTGCCACTCCTGCGCCTTGCAGCTCGGACTCCGGCTTCACTGCCCAGGCCCGCTTCGGCCTCCGGCTTCACTGCCCAGGCCCGCTGGCCCTGCCAGCCTGTTGGCTCGCTCAGCCCAGCAGGCCCTGGCCCTGGCCCTGGCCCTGGCCCTGGCCAGGCTCTACCTCTTCCTCGGGGCCTTGGCCCTGCCTGGGCTTTGGCCCTCAGCTGTGGCCTACCACGCGGGGCTCGGGACACGGAGCGCCCCGTGGCCAGCTGTGCGGCCTCCAAGCTGCTCCTGCAGCTACAGCCCAACCCCGGCTGGTGAAGCCCAGCACAAGGCAAGTGTCTGTGCACCTGCAAAACCCCGTCCCCAAGCTGCCAGCTGCCTCTCAGGCTGCAGGGTACCTTGCTAGGGCTGTGGTGTCCCCCAGGAGCAGCTCCTGCTACCAGGAGCTCCTCGCGCTGGCTCAGGACCTCGCTGCCCCAGCCCTGCCACTCAGGTGCCCCCGACCGAGCGGCCGGCCGGCCGCCTGCTCTCATCTGCTGCCGGCGCCGCCTTCCCCGGCCTGCTTCCCTGGGCTCCGCCTGCTGCCACTGCAGAGCCGCTTGCCCTGGAGCAGTCGCCTGTAGCCGTGGGCTCCGGCCTTTGAACTTCAGCTGTTTCCTTGTTGGCAACTGGCCCTGCTGCAGCTGCCCGCGGATTACGGCCCTGCTAAGCTGCCCTTTCGCTCGCCTCCAACGAGTGTCCCTCGACCCCCGTTACAAGTCACTGCGCCCAGCGCCAAGCGAGCTAGGTTGGGGCCGCTCTGCACGCACCCAGGGAGGGCAGGAGCGTGACACCTGCTCCAGAGCCTGGGCTCTAGCTCCAGCTCGTGATGCCCGGGCGTGTGCTGGCTGCTGTCAGTTGACCTGCCTGGGTAACCCTCACCTCCGCCCAGGCCAAACCGAACCGGAACAACCTGCGAGGACGGCTGCAGGAGAGACCCGGCCCCCTCCCAGCCCCATGCCCGAGGAATCGGCTGGCGCGGGGCCCTGTGCGCAGCAGCCAGCAGCTGGGCCCACGCTGCGGCATCGCCCCTGCCCACCAGGCTGGGGCTCGCACGTGCCTGGCGCTGGGCAGGCGCTGCACAGAGCGCTCAGGCGCTGGACAGACAGAGGAGGTGGCAGAGGTGGGGAAGGGGAATAAAGCCAGTCACACTCGCGGCCAGGGGGCTGACAGACAGACCCACCTTCGCTGAGCCCCAGACGGCAGAGGCCAGGCTGGGCTGGCCTGCCCGGTACTGCCCGCTGCGAGGCGGAAGGGCGGCAGGAGCTGATGCCTTCCCTGGGTCCATCGTGCCCGGTGCGTTTTCTGCCCTCGCTGCCCGGTCGGTGCAGGGCAGTCTCTGGGCAGCAGCTGCGCTGTAGTTTCTGTTTTCTCCAGCAGGCCTTGCTCTTTCCCCACTTTCCCACTGCTCGCTGCCTGTGCCCTGACCCGCTGTTGGCTCTAAGGCCCAGGATGACGTGCACCTCTCTCACGTGTCTCCAACTCTTGTCCTCCGCCGCAGGTCACACGGGCTGCCCATGGAAACCTTCTACTCTGCCCTCCAAGCTGAGATCCGTGCCTTCAAGGAGCAGGTGCGGAGCTGCCAGGAGGGCTTTGACCTGCATGCCCTTTACAAGGTGCTGCTGCTGCTGTTCCCGGAGAGCCAGCCAGGCGAGGTGCAGAGCATAGAGCAGCTGAGAAGGCACGTGGTGTGCAAGGACTGGACAGGCCAAGAGGCAGCAAAGCCTCCAGCGGGCGACAGGGACTGCAGCATCCCTGCCTATGTCTCCTGGCTTAGCTCTTACCTGGGGTATTTAAATTCTTTAAAAGACACGTTTGATGCCAAGGTGGTGTTCCCCTTGTGCGAGAACCTGTATGTCAACGAGGAGCCGGGGGGCAGGTCAGAGCCTGGGTTGCTTGTGGGCTCCCCCTGCCCATCCGGTTCTGGGCACGGGAAGGAGGAGCAGCCCTGTGTCACAGAGTCCATCGCGGACGTCGCCAGGCAGCTCTTTGCCATCAGGAGGAAGTGGGCCCTGCTGCTGCAGGGCGGGATGATCGATGACCGGCTGCTGAGCCCCCAGAGCCTGCGAGATCTACAGGGCTTTGCCCATGCCTGTCCCTTCAGGAAGGTCCTGAAGCTGGTCCCCAACATCTTTCACAAGAGCTTGGCCACTGCAGAGCTTGCCCAGAAGTGGGTTGCTCTCCACAGAAGCAGATACAGCTCCCTCCAGCTGCCCTCAGGGCTGGGCTGGGGAAGAGGGTGGTGCAGGGGTGACCTGGCTCCTGGCACCTCTGAGCACTTGACGAACGGGTCCTTCAGCCCCCTAAGCCTTTCTAACAGCTTCTTGGGAGGCTGCTCGCAACCCAGAGCAAAGAGCGGCACCAGTGGCGATGGAGGCAGTGGGGCAGGCAGCGCTGGCCTGGTGAGAGCCCAGCTGCAAGAGAGCCAGGAGGAGCTGATGTCTCTGCTTGGGCGAGCAGAGCGTGCAGGAGCGCTGGAAGCGCAGCTCCGGGGCATCACCCAGAGCATTTCCCACCTGCACCAGCAGCAGCAGGACAAGAGGAGGGAGCTGGACAATGTCCAGCAGGGCCTGGGGCAGGGTGAGGAGGACATGGCTGAATGTGTGCCGGAGCACAGCAGCTCGTGCCAAGCAATCCTGAGACAGCTGGCAGACTTGGGGAGGCGCCTGGAGCTGGAGGAGTACCGCAAGAGCATCGTGCAGAGGGACTGGGTGCTGGAGCTAACGGTCAGGCCAGCCCTCCTCCGGCATATTGATGTGGTAAGAGGCTCAGCTGCCGGCACTGGCTGTGGATCTGAATGGTGAATGGCTGGGGCAGGGCCAGGCTTAGCCTGCAGGGAGGCTGTGGGCATGCCAGCTTTATAGCATGTCGGTTTGCATGTGCACGTGTGTGCACGTGTGTGAACAAACATGAGCCTGTGAATGCAGTGGTATGTGGCAGGAGTGCATGGGGCCTTGTAGGGTCTTCAGGACACACTGGTATCCAGTGCAGCGGATCATGACACCAGCGAGGGCAAGGGATGGGAAGAAAGCGTGTTGGAGCCCTTCCAGTACTGAGGAATGGATCCTGGGATCACAGAGCACCTGGGCTCTCCAGAGGTCATCTTGTTCAACACCTGCTCCAGGGGATCAGCCCCATCCAAACCATTCCAGAGAAGCTCTGGTCTAACCTGTTCCTAAACCCTGTTACGCAACTACAAGACCTATTGCCCAAAGACACCAAAAGCAGGTGCTTTTAACTTGCTGCAAGTAAAGCCAGGGGACAAGGGCTGTCCATGTTCCACTGTGGCATAGGGTTGATAAAATGCACTGGAGAGATCCCAGAGGCTGTGCCCCCTGCTACACAGGTAGGAGAAATGCCCCACTCCATACCAATCCGACCATTGTGATAAAAATCCCCTTCTGATCCCCAGTGTAGCACTGGGCTGACCTTGAGTGGAAGAGCAAGACCCTGTAGCCAGGACCCTCTCGAATGGGCTCGGACCCTGAGGCAAGAGGGAGGGAGCAGGAGAAAGGGGCACGTGGTATTTGGAAGGGAGGGTGCTGTTTCTCAAAGGAGCCAAAGAGCAGGCTCCGTGTAGCACCTGTCCTCTGGGGCCCCATCAGGCTACAGGTGCCAGAGCCTGGGCACTTACAATGCCGTCTCTTCCCTAGGTGCAGCAGCGCTGCAGGGAGCTGGAGAGAGTGGTGCTGGGGTGGGAGGAGGCTGGCCCAGCGCCTCTCCGGTCAGCAAAGATGACAGACTCCGTGTCCTTGCCTGGCTCGGCTCACAGCTCCACGGCACATGCCATGCCAGGGAGTAGAGGCTCTCTTGCCCCTGGAAGCTGGCAGGGACAGTGACAGCAGGGGCCAGACTCTACTTTACCATCTGCAGTAATGTGCGCATTGGATGTGCGTGCACATGCTTTGCTGGAAGGGCACATGTGCATGCATCTGTGCTGTGTACCTCCGCGGCACAGCTACCAGTGAACAAGCGTCTGTCTTCTCATGGTAGCTTCATTCTGCCCCTCACCCCACCAAGGGTCTCCGCTGCTTTACAAGCAGCAAGCCAAGCCAGAAAAGCAATGGGGAGGGATCTGCTCACCAGGGGAGTGACTCTGAAGCCACATGCGAGAGCTGGAGCAGAATCCAGGGCCCAAGTGTCCTGCCCAGAGCCCCGGGCTGGGATCAGGCTACTTACCAGAGTCCAGCACATGCTGCAGCTATGCGGGTCCCGGTAGCCACAGGGGCTCCAGGTAGGGCAGTGGCAGTGGAGGGTGATCATGGGCCAGAAGAAGGGTGGGCTCTAGGGAAGGCGCATATGGCCAGGCGCCCCCAATCTCCGAGATGGAAGACTGGCCACCTGCAGCCCCTCCCCAGGGGCTCAAGCACATGCCCAGGGATGCAGAGGCCTCTGTTGTGTTCCTGCAAAGGGTTTATTAGTGCTGCTGTTTCCACTACAGTCAGAAGTCACCACACACAGCCAGGCTGCCGGGGACACAGAGACAACAGGCCTCCTACACTACACAAGGAGGACAGGACACACAGCCACAGACGCACAGAAGACACCAGTTTCCCACCTGCGAGGGCATCCATGGGCATGGCAGGGCTGTGGGCGCCAAAGGGGTTTCTCCCTTTGGGTGGGTATTTCTGAGGCTCTGTGGGTGCAACACGTGACTCCAAAGCCTAGCAAGTGCCCCAGGCGGTAAGGAAGGATCTGTGCCCACTGACAGATAGGAACGGGGCAGGGCCAGGGACAGACTGGGGTCCCAGGGCCAAGCAGTGCTATAGACAGGGATCCTAGGCTGGCACCTACCCTGCAAGGGCACCATCCCCTCCTGTCCCCAGAAAGAGCAGGAGCCCATGTTCTTGGGCCTCCTGCCTGCCAGGGCTAGCCCCCAGCCACACGCTAAGAGCACATCACAGATAATCTCTTCAGCTACAGCCTGGGCCTGCCAGAGAGCCAGGGGCCCTAGCAACCCATGCCAGGAACCAGACCTGGACAGCCAGACACCCCCATGGCTTCCCTGCACAGAGATGTGGCTGCCCAGGGCTCACACCGCAGGCCTGAAGACCAGGTTCCTGGTGGCTACTGCTCATTCCCCAGCTACCAGGCACTGCTAATGGGTGACCCAGCTCTGGGGGCAGCAGGAGGAAGTTTCCATAGTGACCTGATCACTGGGGGGGATCCGGGCCAAACTGCCCACCAGGCAGGGAGGGGTCAGGGATCCACAGTGATCCAGTCACTGGGCTGAGGCCTCCGTGTCCTGAGGGGCCTGAACACCTCAGCAAACCCAGTCGGTGGCTGTTGAGACCGGTGCCTACGGGGGATGGTGGGGGTACACTCCCTGCAGCCCTACCCCCCAAGGGCCCTGCCCACCTGCTCTGTGCCCTTCTGACATCACAAACCTTAGCTGTAACATCACACCTGGTTACCAGGGATGAACGTGACTTCAGATGGGGACAGACAACCCCTCACCTTAGACACATGGTGCAGGCTGAGGGAGGGATTTGCTGGAGGTGCTGCCAGCTGCTTTCAGGTCTGGAAAGCAGAAGCACTGTGCGACCCCAGGGAAAGGGCCTGCTCTCAGGGCACAGGCATGCAGGGTGCCCCCATCCCCAGAGCCCCGGCCAGGGTCCACAGTCCCCTGGTTCTGCAGAAAGGCACTGGGGGCTCAGAGCAAACCCCGAGAGGTCAGGGTCACCCAGTGCTGCCCAGGCATGGTGAAGTGTGAGGGGGATTCTCCTTGTGGCAGCTGGTGACCTGCTGCCCACCAGAGAGCTGTGCTGTACTCTCTGGTTTGCTCATGTGATTGCAGGCCGGTCCTGCTGCAGCAAGAGGGCCGGAGGGCAGCCTTTTGGGTAGCATTTGGAATAACAGCTGGGCCGGGGCTAAAGGACCATGGGGAGCACAAACACCTGGGAGCAAGGCATGGCAGGGCGTGCTGGACCAGGGCACCTGTCAGGCTGAGCAAGGAGGCTGCCTTCAGAGTCTGGCCCCAGGAAGCGGCCGGCCCTTTGCAGGCAAGACTCGCCTGGCACTGTGACTGCAGGAGACCCTTCCCTACCCTGCCAGGGTGGGGCCTGGCCAGCCTCTCCCTCCACAGTGCCTGGATCCTGGGCTGGCATCTGAAGCAGGTGAATGGGAGGTAGTGGCATGGCTCCCTTTAACCAGCCCACGCACTGAATGCAGCCCCCAGCCACCGGCAAGGACTGGGGCCAGCTCAGGGCCGAGGGAGTGCAGGGTCCCACGGAGCATCTGGGTGTGAGAGGCACTTCCCGGCCCCGCTGGCTCTGGGAAGAAGGAGACGGTGCCTCCACTGAGCAGGTGATGGGTGTCATGGGATCAGCTGGACCGTGCCCGGCAGAGGCCATAGAACAGCTGTTCATTGCTGCAGACCAGAAGCTGCTTGACTTGCTGTGAGTCTGAGGCCTGTTCAGACGGCCCTGGGTCCAGAAGAGAGCCCAGCATGGGCAGAGGCACCACAGCAGCCACTCACACAGGCATGTGCAGCTCATTGTACTCATCCCGGCCGTCCTCATCGAAGTTCGGCTCCGCGTCCTCCGAGTCCAGCTGGGGATAAGAAGGACTGGCAGTGAGGGCCATGGCTGCTCCCTGAGCAGGTGCTGAGCCCCATACAGTGCCACTGTCCAGCAGACTCTGCCCCCAGGCAGCTAGGACCTGGGACCACTGCCCTCCCCTCCCTCCCCACCCTGGGAGCTTTGCCCAGCTGGTTGAAGTTGCTCCCACCCTCTTTGGCTCCCACTAGTCCCAGCCCTTCCCTCCCTCCTGCTTCTCTCTCCTGCTGCTGGGGGCTGCCCCTGCCTCTCTTCCTGCTACAGGACAGCCACCATTGGGGAAGGCCATGAGACTCCTCCTCCCTGCCAGAGCCTGATCCAGGCCCTTCCCTGCAGCAAAGACCTTGGGCAAGGGCAGCAGGAAGGAGGCACCAGGGACCTGTGACCAGGGGATGGAGAACTGTGCCCTCAGCAGTGGCAGTCAATGGGAGGCTAGCAGGCAGGCTGGCCTGTCTTGGCTTCTGCCACAGAGGAGAAAGGCCAGGGATCTGTATACCAGGCAGCCCTGACAGTAGAGAGACGAAGCAAGGACCCCTGTCCCTGACTTCAGGCCTCCCCACGGCAGCAGCATCTTCCCTCCCTTTCACCCATCTCTCCTTCTCCAGCTGAGCTCTGAGACAGGGTCTCCCATGGCTCTGGGGGGCTGCGCTGGGTCCAGCCAGCACCCAGCAAGCAGTTGCCTCCAGGACACCACTGCAACCTGGACACTGTGGCACTGGGGAGGAAACCTTGGGTGGGGGAGCAGCTTACAGCTTTGAGCTCCCTATCCTGGAAGAAGCGGGGCAGCACGAAGCGTCGCAAGGGCACTGTCATGATCAGCACGAAGGGGAAGGCCAAGGAGGCCACGGTTGACTTCACCACCCAGAGCAGCACAATGCAGGCCAGTTGGATGAGGGTGAAGAGGTTCATCCTCCAGGTCTTCACCTGGGGAGACAAGACCAACCTAGCAACGTGCCACATCTTGCCTGGCCTAGCAATGAACCACCCTAGCACGTGCCATGCCATGGCCCATCCTAGCAATGTGCCACCCAAGCAACATGCCACACCACGGCCCATCTTAGCAACATGACACGGTAGCAATGTGCCATACCATGGCCCATCCTACCAATATACCACCCTAGCAACATGCTATGCTATGGCCCATCTTAGCAACATGCCATCCTAGCATCACACCATGCCTCCACCCATTCTAGCAACATGCCATCCTAACAACAATCCATGCCCTGGCCCAGCCTAGCAACGTTCCAGCCCAGAAACACGACACTCTGGCAATGCATTGTGCCTCCATGCTGTCAAGCAATGCACCATCCAGGCAACACGCCATTGCTCAGTCTAGCCACGTGTCATCCTAGCAACGCACCTTGCCACGGGCCAGCCCATCAACACATGATCCTAGGAATGCACCATGCTATTGCTGAGCCTAGCACCGCGCCATCCTAGCAGCATACCATGCCATCGCCCAGCCCAGCACTGGGCCAACCTCACAGCGCTCCATCCTAGCAATGCACCACACCATCGCCCAGCCTAGCAACACATGATCTAGCAATGCACCATGCTATTGCTGAGACTAGCAATGCACCATCCTAGCAATGCATTAAGCCATTGCCCAACCCAGCAGCATGCCACATCATGGCCCAGCCCAACCCCGTGCCATCTTAGTAGCGCACTATGACACCGCCCTAGCCATGCACCTCCCTAGGAATGTGCCATCCTAGCAACATGCCATACGCCTGTCCAGCCTAGCAACAAGCCATCCTAGCAACCCACCATGCCTTCGCCCAGCCTGGCAACTTTCCAGCCCCCCCCCCAAAAGGGCCACACAACAGTCTCACAACACACCACCCTAGCAACAGGTCACACCTCTGCTCAGCCTAGCAATGCAGCATCCCCGCAATACAGCATTCTTCCACCCAGCCCACCCACATCTCACCACCCACCAGCAGCGATGCACCACATGCCAGCCCCCGGAGCAGTGGTTTCCCTGTTGTGGTCGGTCCCCATGCTGCCCAGGCCCCCACTGATCTCACAGCTCCAGAGAACTGGTCATTCAGCACCTGCAGCCAGGGCTATTCAGTGCTTGCCTGCACCCCACAACAGAAACCTCCCCGCCACCTGCCCCCGCTCCCCCGGCTGCAGCTCCCACCCGCCTTGCTCACCCACCTTGACAACGTAGATGTGATCAGGGTGGTGCTTAGACGGCATGAAGATGAGGAGCAGCCGCTCATAGAGCTGGATGCCAGTGAGAGATGTGACCCCCATGTAGAGGAAGATCCCGAAGAGCACGGCCAGTGGGATCTGCCGCAGCACGTTACCCATCACGATGGACAAGCCTGCAATGATGGTGCTCAGGGCTCACCATGCACACACCGGGGCCCCCTGACACCCCAGCCCTCAGGCACCCCTGTCTGCTGTAGGTATGGGGTAGGGTGCAGGGGGGTGGGAGGCTGGCTGTGGGGGGAGTGAGGCATAGCCACTGTCTGGGGAGCAGGTAGGGATGGTGTTTGTGTGGGGGTTGGGGCAGGAGGGAGGGCTATGGTGAGACGGGGACAGAGCGCTAGCTGGGGGAGCTGTAGGGAATGGGACAGAAGGGACATGGGTGCAGGGGCCCCGGCTGTGAAGGAGGAGGGATGCTGGCTCCAGGCTGCTGTGAGCAGTGGGGCAGTTGGTGTCCTGGGTAAGAAATCCTGACAGGCACTCTGGAGGGGAACAGGGCACTGCCTGGGGGAACAGGGGAGTGATGTCAGCTGTAGGCAGCTGGGCAGGGGTACAGGCTGGGGGTCGCTTTGCCCACACCTTGGCTCAGTGCCAGCCGCATCCCTTGCTAGCCCACCCCCACGCCACGCAGCTCAGCCTCACCAACAAGGGTGGCAATGAGTACGCCTGTGACCCGCTGCTCCTTCACCTCCTCGATCTTGGGCTTCTCCCCAGGTGCAATGGCCTTGCTCATGACAGTTAAGGCATTGACATGGGTGATGGAGCGCACAGTGGCTGCCGTCAGCCAGGGCAGCCCGAACAGGGCGCAGAGCCCACCCATGGTGCCAATTAGCAGCAGGTCCAGGTGGAAGCCAGAGCCTTTGAGCAGTTTCCGCTCCTTCTTGCTGACGATCAGGCTGGGGCAGGAGCAGAGGGAGAGCAGTCAGCACCGGTGGGCAGCACTGCACTGCAGCCGTGAGGGAGACATGAGGAGCTGAGCAAGGTGGGGTGGGAAATGTCTCTGCCCTGGACCAGAACCATATCAGCTACCCCAGGGAGGCATCCTCTCCTGGGCTAGGCTGGGGCAGAACATGCAGACAGTGTCCTGCGCACACAGGCCTGTCTGGGCACAGCAGGGAGCCCATGCTGCAGCTGTGAGGCGGAGAAGACCGAGGCAGCGGGCTCCAGTGGGCAGAGGTATCATTCTCACCAGCACTCAAGGAATCCTTCCTGCCTGCCTCTTTCCATGCTAGGTGCCCTGCTGTCCGGATCCAGCAACAGCCTGAACACCCTGGGCTGACCCCACCCCCACTGGTGCCCTGCACAGACCCCTGGTGCTGGCTCCGGTGACCAGCAGCTCACAGGCAGTGGCACTCACGTGGTGATCTGCGTCTCCATGAAAATGAGGATAAAGACCAAGAGTGCAGGAATGGCCGAGGCAAACATCATCCACACTGGGAAGGCCTGGCTGCTGCCCAAGGGGTGGATGAACCAGCCGCGCTTGTCGGGGGACGTGACAGAGAGGCCGGCAGGGACGTTCAGCTTCTGTAGGAGCAGTCCAACATGACACGAACATCCTCATTGCATCTGGCCCCATGGCCCAGGCAGTTCCCACCCCACTTTGGGAATCCAGCACTCTTAACCCCAGCCCCAACCTGTGCTCAGCACCACACAGCACCATAGGGCCCCTACCCATGGGGCTTGGCTCTGGCTCTGGGCATTGCCAGTTCTGAGGCCCTGAGGGACCAACTGAGCCATCTGCTACCAAACTGACCTCTGTGTCCTGCAGGCCAGAAGCCCTTGCCCTGTGATGCTGCACACAGGCCGCAGCCCGTGGCTGAGATGGAGCAGAGCTTAGAGAAATGCCTAGATGCTGAGCCTCAGCCTGGAAGTCCCAGAGCTGCCACCTCTGCCCTGCCCTGGCCAGCTGTTCATGGCCATTCCCCCTCGCCTACTCCCAGCACCTGTCAACAGCTCGCCTCTCTGCTCCAGCCAACCTGCCTCTCCCTTCGGCTGTTACTGGTCATCGATCCGAGCCTGGGGAGCCGCTGCTCTCAGAGCTTCTGCCCATGGGGGAACTTCCAGATGAGAGCTGAAGCACCTTGTAACCTCCCTGTAGGTCACTGGAGCAGGCCACACTCCCCCTCTCTGCAGCAGGTTTCACAGCCCTCTTGGGGCCCATCTATTTGTTCCCTTTCTGGGCCACCGACCCCAGACCAAGCTGCAGCCTGCAGGCATAGCCAGAGGCTGCCTTCCTCCCTCCTCTACCAATCTGAGACTGCACAACTCCCAGCCACCCCTGGTTCTGCACCTGTTTTGATGCCACATGCAGCCCTTCCCAAGCTCCAGCCCTTGAAGGGACTCCAGGTGCCAGAGCTCTAACTCCTGGGGGCTGCAGGAACAGTACACTGTGGCCTCTGGCTTGCCTGTTACACTGAGGAGCGGGGAGGTGATGGAGCCTGGCCACATGGGTGCGGTGGCTTGGTACTGGCTGCATGTGCGGGACCTAGGGCAGTGTTTGCCCTACCTGTGTGTAGGTGTCCGTGATGGTGTAGTCCACCAACACCATGACCAGGATCGAGATGGGGATCCCAAAGTCTCCAATGATGCGCCGAGCCTGTGGAGTGATCATGGCAGCAGGGATGAGCTGGGCCCCTCCAGAACGTGGATCTCCATGGTCCCAAGCAGAGAGCGTCTGGATGTGTTTGGGGGGAGGAGGGGGGCAGCAGCAAGGAGCGCAGCACAAGTGAGTGCTGCTAACAAGTGAACGGTGAGAGGCCCAGGTGCTCCAGGCTGCTCTGACGGGGCTGGCCCTGGCCACGTGGGGTGTGAATCTGGCAGTCCCCAGCCACGCTGCACTTGGAGACGCCTCTGAAAGCACATGGGAACTACAGCCCTGAGCATGTGAACGAACCATGAGCACAATCCTCCTTCCTGCTGGCCAGGTCATTTTGACCTGATGCTGGAGACCTCTCACCCCTGCTCCTCACCCTCCCTAAGATCAGCCTGGAAAACAGATGTTGGTCCTTGGGAGTCGCTCTGCCTGGGAGGCTCCAGTGCACCACACTCTGGGCTACAGACTCCATCAGAGAAGCCTTGCTGGCCTTGGCGCCCTGGGTGCAGAGATGGGCAGGAGCAGCCCAGGAGCAGCCCTGGATGGCAGTGACTAGCTGCTGGATGGCTGCAGCAGCACCCAGCTGCTGCAGCCTTCTTCTTCTGCAGGCTGGAGCCTGGGGCCCAGCCACATCACAAAGCCAAAGGGCTACTGGTATGTTGACTCACTCAGTCATTGCAGAGACCCCTGCACCAGCCCTGATGCGTCAGAGCAGGCAGCGAGGTGTGTTTCTGGAGGGCAATGCCTGGGTGGAGGGGCTGGGGGCAGCGTGTGCAGAAGAGCCACAAGCCTGGGCACCTACCTTCCCTCCCAAGAAGCGGCTGTTCTTGAACTTGCGCATGAAGAAGGCAATGAAGAAGGTGCCCAGCATGAGGATGAGGGAGAGGAGGGCGGTATTGGGCTGCATCCGGGTTCCCAGTGTCATGGCGTCTGCAGAGAGTGCACTGGTGTTCAGGCTGCCTTGCAGGCTTGGTGGATAAAACTTCAGCAGGGGGTGCTCTGCAAACACCTGGGCAAGGGTGCATGAAGGGGCACGTCACTGCCTGTGGGGAGGGGGGGCCAGAAGACACCATCACTGCCCAGTGGAGCTGGGGCATGGCTGCTACCACCCATGGGGGCAGGCAGAAGGCATTGGGAGGGGGATCACCTTGTAGAGTTTGTAGAAAGTTTCGTAGATGAAGATGAGGGAGATGAGGAAGGCAAAGATTTCCTGCGTGAAGGGCGAGATGTAGCGCACCAGGAAGCTGCCTTCAGCTGCCACAATGATGAAAATGAAGACGATGAGCCACAGGCCAATCCACACTCTGCCTGTCAGGTACTCAATGCCTTGGGTCTGGCAGAACTGAGATGGGGAGGAAGGGGCAGTCATGGTCACGGTCACAGTCTGAGCATCTGCTTCTTCCCCCCGGCCCATGTGACCCCTGAGTGCCAGTTGAGAAGCGTGAGGACATCCTCCTAGGCCCCACAGCAGGGCCACGGTTAAGGCAGGGCTGACTCCCTGACAAGGGTCACAGACTCCTGCCCTCCCATCAGCCATTGCACCTCAGCGGGGCACTCCAGCCTTGAGACAGGCAGTGCTAGAGGGAGGGATAACCTGGGATCATTCAGCCTGGAGAAAAGACAACCAAGGGGATGTGAAAGCGATCTCTAAATGCCACGAGGGCTGCTGGAAAGGGGACTGACCTGTCATTCTCTACATCCATGGGGGACAGGACGTGAACTAACTCCAGCAAGGGAGACTTAGGTCACATTAAGAAGCACTTGCTGGTCAGCACAGGAGTTGCCACCACTGGAAGTTCAGAGCAGGATGGTTTGGTCGAGGGTCATGGGACCAGAGAAAAGAGGGGCTGGAAGGGACCTCATGAGGTCACACCTAGGCCAGCCTCCTGCTCAAGGCAGGATCATCCCTAGACCGTCCCAGCCATGGGTCTGTCCAACCTGCCCTTGAACGTCTCCAGGGATGGAGATTTCACCACTTTGAGGGGCCTGTTCTAGTGCTTGACCTCCTCAGAGTCAGAAAGTTCCCCCTTGTCTCCAGCCTAAATTTTCCCTGCTGCAGCTTGAGGCCAGTTGTCCCCTACAGTCACAGAAAAAAGCCCATCTCCATCCTCTTGATAACAGTCTTTAGGTATTTGGAGACTGCTATCAAATCCCCCCTCAGTCTTCTCTTCTCCAGACTAATTACCTTTAGCTCTTTCAACCTGTCCTCACAGTCATGTATCCCAGGCCCCTGATGATTGCTGTCACTCCTCACTGGACTCTTTCCAATCTGTCCACATCTCTCCTGCAATGCGGAGCCCAGCACTGGACACGGCATGGCTGCACAGTGTATGCACTGTATACAATGCTGAACAGAGCAGGAGAATCACTGCCCCTCACTTGCAGGTGAGACTGCTGTTCATACAGCTCAGGAGACTGCTGGCTTGGTTTGCAGCCCGAGCACACTGCTGGCTCCTGTTCAGCTCATGGTCTGCTGCTCCCCAGACCCTTCTCTGCAGTGCTGCAGCCCAGCCAGCCATTCCCCAGTCTGTATTTGTGCATGTTAGTATCCTGTCCCTACTGCAGGACTTTGCACTTGTTCTTGTTGAAGGGATGGTCCTGCCCAGGCTCCAAGGCCTCGAGGCCCTGTCCAGGCCTGTGAATACCTGTCAGCTGGTGTGTGGCCAGGGGATGCCAGCCATCGCATACCTCCCCTCCCTTCCCAACACTGCAAAGGAAAAATGACTCCACAGCAAAGCCACGGCTCGGAGCCTGTGGCAGCATAGCCCTGCCCAGCCTACCCCACAGAAGAGGCTGCACCGCAAGGCCGGCTGCAGGTGTCCTGCATGGCTGGATACGCTACAGTCCCTGCAGAAGCTCTGCAGTTGCAGATGACCTGACCAGCCCCAGCACCGCCCTGCAGGCATCAGGGGAATGCCACAAGGCCTTGCCCAGATGGGCCAGGCCACAGGCACTGGTGGGACAAGCCCTGGCCACATGTGGCAAAGGCTGACACGCACCTTGTAAAACGCTTCTTCAAACACCAAGAGGGGTCCTGAAAAGCCGATGACAAGGAGGGGCTGGGCCCCGAGCAGGGAGAACAGGATGCCCAGGACCGAGGTGGAGATGATCAGTTCTGAGACACCCATGAGACCCTCCGTCTTCTCCCCTTAGAGAAAGAGAACAACATGTGCATCAAGGAGCCCCAGCTGGGACACACCAGAGCACTTAAGGGAGGAGCCCAGGGGCTCTCTCCAGTGCTGCTCCTGGAAGGCCGCGCTTGGTCCTGGCTCCACGCTGCTGCAAAAGGTGGACATGCCGGAGAGTGCTCAGAAAGGAACTGCAGACAGGCCAGGGGCTGAGCAGCAGGGAGGAAGGTAGCCATGCGCATGCAGCAAAACGAGCCCCCAAGCCAGAGCCCCGTCCAGGCCCAGCAGGGCACCTGGCAGGCAGGAGCATGCAGACCGAGCGCAGGCCCGTTACCTAAGAGTCCCCCGAAGGTGATGGCAGGAGAGAGAGCAGCAAAGTAGATGAAGAGAACGGCCGCAAGACACTGGCTGTGCAGGGCGTCCCGGATGTCGCTGAGGTATTTGGGGTACCTGCGCTTGATGTCCCGCACCAGGCCGCCAAAGAAAATGCCGGTCCGCCGCAAGGGGTCGTCCTCTGCCTCCTCTTCCTCCTCCTCAGCCTTCACCTCACACAGCTCTGGGGAGGGGCAGGGCGCATGGGTCACGACGGGAACACAGGGACCCGAGCCCCCTTCCCCCAGGATGTACGTGCTGGAGCAAACCCACCTGCCATGTGGCCAGTTGGCGTGATGCTATCATTGGCAGCTCCCTAAACAGTCCCCCTGACAGCCTAGGCCCCCGCTGCTCACCCTGTCCTGACCTTCCCCCACACCCCTGCTGGGCCAGGACAGGGGGAGCCCCACAGGGTCGCAGCCAGCACCCAAGGCTCAGTCTCCATCCCCTGGGCAGATAAGGGAACACAGCAGAGACCTCTGGCTTCCTGGGCGATGCCCTCCTTTGTGGACTTCTTCTGCTCCCGCTCCTTCCTCTTCCTCAGCAGCTCCTTCTGGAAGGTGGCGATGGAGCGGAGCAGGTCCTTGCCCTCCACCTCCGATGGGGGGATGACGATGCTGCAGTCCAGGAACTCATTGATGGCGTTGAGCAGGTCCTGGCGGTCGTCGGCCAGGTACGCAGCCTCGTGGAAGAGCTGCCGCCAGAGATAAGTTTAGGTTAGGGTCAGGGTCCTCAGCACAGCATCACAGTGCCTTCCTCCTGTGCACCCAGACCCTCCAGCTCCAGCACCTGCCTTACTGCCAGGTCCTGGCACTTGGCCAAAATGTTGCCTCCAGCCCCAGTCCCTCCCCTCCTGACCAACAAACAGGACCTCCCCAGGGCTCGTCTCCCAGCTTGTGGTCCTCAAACCAGCCCCCGCTGACCTGGGCTTGGCAGCCAGCAGGGAGAAGGCATTGCTGCAGCTAGGAACTTGGGAGCCAGCCCCAGGACGTGTCACTCCCCCTCTCCCCATGGCCAATGTCATGGTCGCCTCCCTTTTGTCTGCTAGTAGGGATGACGCATCTCCCCTCCCTGCCCCAGCAGAGGCAGCATGCATCTTCCTGGATGCCCCACCAGGAGGGACCAGCGCAGCCCTGTCTCCATCTGCAACAGTCACCATTGCATCCAGTTTGGGTGCTGGTGCCTGCTGTGGCAGGCACTGGGCCCAGGGGCTCTGATGCACTGGTCTGCCTGTCCCTTTCCAGGGCCAACACCTCTGCCTGACTCAGTGCACTGGAGGTGCACACCGCACCTCCTCTCCTCCCTCAGCCTCTGGGGACCCCTTCGCTCTTGCCCTCCTCTGCACTCGCTGCCCAGCACAGCGTGACTGTCGGGGCCCTTCTGCACTGGGTGATCCCACCCTGCCCTGAGCCTCCCATCCTGGGCTGGGATCCTTGGACGAGACCTGCCCCCTCGGCCATGCCCACCCCCAGCTCCTGTCCAGCAGAGGCCTTGGCACAGCAACGGCATCTCTGCAGCTGCCGTGTCTTGTGCCTGACCCTCTGTCCCTTCTCCCACCCCCCCAGCATTAGCGATGGCCCAGCCTGCTCCTCGCCTTGTCGGACATAAGGGTGGAGATGGAGCGCCCGATCTCGTGGTAATCCATGTTGGCCTGGCTGGGCCCCAGCAGGACAAAGATAAACCGGACTGGGATCGGGACCTCCAGGACAGACTCCAGGAACGTGGCCTCGTTCAGCCGGACAAAAGCCATGGTGGGCTGCTCCAGGAACTGCACGCAGCCTGCGAAGGGCAGAGACTGTGGTCAGGGGGGTCCGGCACTGGATCAGGCACCTAGAGAAGCCATTGTCACCTCCATGCCTGGGATTTCTCAAGAGCAGGCTGGCTAAGGGCTGGGATGATTTAGTCAGGAATAATCCTAGACTAGATGTGGCCATGTGAGGGCCCTGCCAGCCCAAATGTCCTATGATCCTATGAACGAGGTCACAGTGGGAACCAGGCCCCAGGAGATATTGATGCCCCCCAGAAGCATTGTCCCAGGGAAAGGCCCCTGCTAGACATACATGGGCTCATACAGGTATTCCCTGACTGCAGGTGATGGGAAGTGTGGGGTCGCCTGGTCCAGGGGAACCTGGGGCACAGTGCCCTCACAAACAGGCTGTTTGCAAAACAGCCAGGTTTTATCACATGCTTTTGTCCCTAGCTTGGAGAAAACACAAGCAAAGCCAATACGGCGCTGTCATTAGCTGGACCCAGAGAACACAGGCACCGGGAGCCCGGCACCGAGTAGTCTGGCTTCCAAAGCACAATAAAATGGACTGACGAGTTAAGAACATCTGAACAGCCCCGTGGGGCCTACCAGCCTGGCATCCTGCCTCTCACCGCAGCAGAAAGTGATGCTGAAGAGAAGAGCCTCTGTGCAGGGCCCATCCAGCCTGATGCCTGACCCCTTACATTCACACTTAACACTGATGAACCCACCTGAAACAATTCAGGCCCCACAGAGAGAAGCATGATTGTCCTTCCATGACCCAGGCACTGCCTCCCAGGCCAGAGCCGAACACACTGAAAAACACCGGGCCATGCACTGATCTCCATGGGACCCTGCTACCAGCCCTTGTGTTCAGCAACCATTCCCCAGTAACGACCACACTTGTCATGAGTCAGTTCTTGATCCCTTTAACATAGGCCCCCCTGATAGTGCACAGGGCTTGCTTTTCAGTCAGTGGTATGTAGGACTAAGCCAAAGGCCTGGCACAGACCTGGGTACATGACACCCATGTGGTTACCTCTACCATCTGTGTTGCAAATCCAGGGCTGTTTGACCAAGAGGACCCCAAAATAAAGCTGTCTCCCACAAACAACCTACTTCTGCGTAACAGTGCCCCAAAGTGCCCATGCAGAGCCAGTGCAGCTTGAAAACCCTTAGCCTCACCAGAGCTCCCTGCCTCAGTTATACAGGGCTCAAGATGCTACCCTGCACTGAGCCCAGCAAAAACAACTCAGTCCTACATGTCTGAATAGGGCTGGATGCTGGAGCAGGGCAGGTCCCAGAGCCCTGGCCTGGGCAGGTAACTGTTCCAGGTAACCCCAGCACCCGTGGCTCCCGGAGCCCAGTCTAGGCAGCTGGGCCCACTTCTAGGACCTCAGATCCTTGCAGTGTGCACAGGTCTCTCTCAGGAAGTCAGTTAGGCATGTTCACAATGCCCCTTTCCCACATCCCACCCAGCACTGTGCAGGGGGCAGTCAGGGCAGTGCTGTCAGCTGAGCAGGTGCAGATGGGGTTGGGGAGGGGATGGATATGAATCGTTGCAGCAGCTCTCTCCTGAGCAGCTCAGCCCTGCCCCAGAGATGTCGTCTCAGGGTTGTGACAACAAGGATCCTGACTAGGGAGAGATGGAAGAGCAGCCCCCCACCCCAGGTCTGCTGTCCTGACTGTGGCCGGCACTGGAACGATCAGGGACTTCTCGCACGGTCCCTTTTTCCTGATGTCCCAGATGTCCCCCTCACCCAAGCCAATGCCCAGCTTCTTTCACATCAAGCATTTCCTAAACTCTGTGCTCTGTGGAGGGCCAGAGGATGGGGCCTAGGTCGCTCCCCTTGCTCCAGAGCCTCTTCCTGTGTTCAGACCGTTTCTCAGGCTCTGCCTGGTCCAACACCAGGCCATTTCCAACCAGCACAATTGACAGAGGGATCACAAAACTTGCAGGGGTCCCCACGCATCACAGCTCACATGGCCCTGCAGCATTCGCACTTGTGTCTCCCTCCAAAGTTCAGGACCATTCCCAGCCCCTGCACTGGGGCTCTGAGACAGGCCTGGGCATCTGGCTTCTAGGCAAGGTGGGCAAAACAGGTTTGAAAACAGCATCACCCAGACACGAAGCTGGTGCCAGGCCGAGTTCTGAGACGCTTGGCCAGGGAAGGAGGTGAAGCAGGATGGGGCCATGCTGTCCTGCCTCCTAGCCCTTGCTCTTCCTTGCTGGAGCCTGGCCTGGGCAGCTTGGCCTGGTGTCCCCTGCGGTAGTCCCGGGCTCAGACCCCACAAGCTGGAAGGTACCTCTGGGCACCTTCAGAAGGAGCAGATTCACCCATCCTAGGACAAGGGCCTGGGACAGCCTGAGACCCCAGGACACAGCAGGCGAGGCAACAAGGGGTCACTTGGGCTAGGCCCTCCAGCTGAGCGAATGACATTGTCCTCAGGTAAAGCTGGGGTCGCAGAAATGGGTAGCCCACGCTCCTTGGCAGGCATGAGCTGGTGCCTGGCTGGGTCCCGGACCTGGGACCAGGCCTCCCTGGCAGCTCCCCTTCAGCATCTCTTACCCACAAGGACCACAGTGGCCTCCGCATCATCGGGAATCTTCTCCATCAGCTTCAGATACTTCCCGCGGTGCCCCTCAGAGTTGTGCAGATGCAGGTTTTTCTGCCCCGGCCAGGAAAAAAGGCACAAGTGAGGATAGGCAGCCAGGCTCTGTACTCCTGCCATGTGCCGGGGTCTGCACTGACCTGCAGAGCGGGGGAACTGGATGCCCAAGCCTGTTGCCTCCGCCTTGCTCAGGACCCACACCTGGCTTGGGTTCCCCTAGGGCAGGGCGCAGGGCAGAGCCTTGCTGATAGCTGTTGCTTCACCTCTCCCCACAGGAAGCTGATGCCGGACCCCACTTGTTGGTGACTTTCCCTGCACCAACTACTCCCCTTCAGCCCCATGTCTAGCCCTGGGTCATTCACCCCACAGTCCTGCTGCACCTGAGGTGCTGCTGCAGAGTGGCTGCTCTTGGCCAGAAGGAGCAACCCTTGCTGCACCACGTGGGGATGGGTCCTGCCTTGGTGGCTGGCAGGACCCCCTTACTCCTGCCCTGTGCAAAGGTAAAGACAGGGCCTACAGTTTGTCTCCTGCATCTACATTCAAGTGCCTGAGCAAGCAACCGGCCACCCTGCAGTCCTGCTGAGGACTGGGTCCCTGACCAGGATGCCCAGCCCCAGGTCTTGGATCCGAGCGCTCTGAACCCCTGGCCTGCAACGCTAGAACCCCCAGGGAAGCTGGGTGCACCTTGCACTTGGCCTTGTCTCAGGCAGCTGCCCTGGGAAGGGCAGAGACCCCTTGCACCAGCCGGTCCCGCCCTGTATAGCCCTCACCTCCTTGCACTCGGTGTCATGGGGTTTGGGGTCAGCCATCTCAATACGCTCCTCGCCCATCAGAGGCATGCAGGTGTCGGTCATGTGGTTGTGGTTGTGGTGGTGGTTGCCCACGACTGAGTTCATGCTGGAGCTGGAGTGGTTCTGGGGGAAGAAGCCCTCCTTCTCGTCGTTGGGGTGGCTGGGAGGACAGCGCCGGTCAGAGCCGTGGGCGGGAGCGGCCCTGCCCTCGGCCCCCAAAGCCAGTGGTGATGGCAGGACTGCAGCTACCACCCTCCCTGGTGGCCAGGCTCTGAGGGAGCAGGGTGCCAAACCCCTATGGGTCAGGGGAGCGGCTCCTGTGTCTGGGCTGATACCCAAGCCGTGCAGCCCTGGGCAGGAAGTCAGGGATGCTGCAACTGGTCCCCAGCCCTGCACCCTCCCCTTCCTGCTTTCAGCATGGCCAGCTCCACCTGCCCATGCTCCCTCAGGGGCTCTTCCCTGCAGCGCTTCCCCCCAGCCTTGCCCCATCTCCACCCCAGCATCTGCCCCAAGCAGCCTCGCAGGAGCTCCTGCCGCAGTGCCCTCACTGTCCTGCTGCCCCGCTTCCCCAGCCCAGCTGCCCTGCTCCCCTCCAGGCCATGGCCCTCCCCAGCTGCCCCGGGGCCTGGCTCAGCTTCCTTTCTTGCCCCCTGGCAATGACTCCTCTCCCCCTTGCCAGACTGAGAGCCCCCCACACCTCCCTTCCCTCCTTCATGGCCCTGGTCTCCCTGCCCCAGCCCCCCTCACACTGCCCGGGAGGCACCAGCGCCCTCCAGATGCACATACCCTCCACTGCCTGCTCTGTGGGAACAGGCCCTACTCCAGATACAGGCAGGGAACCTGCCCCCACAAGATCCACTCCCAGTGTGACACCAGAGACCACCCAGCTTCTCTCTCTGCCTCCCGCTCCTGTCCCATGTGCCCCCATCCCCACTGGTATGCCTGTCATTGCCCCCACTCCCCCTCGCCTGCAGCCTGTGCCCACCTGTGCTTCAGCAGCAGGGCCCGTAGCACGTTGGCCCTGTCCTCAGCTTTGATCTGGTCTGAGATGATCATGGTCTCCACCACCAGGTGTGCAATGCCTGGGAGCGTCGTCTGCTCCAGGTCCAGGAGGATGGCGCCTGCAAGCAGCAGGGAAAGTGGCTTGCTTAGCCCTGCACAGACCATGGTGCCACAGGATGTCACCGGGCTGGAGCCCTAGCAGGGCACAGGCACCTGCCACCGTCTCGCACCCCTTTGGTCCCAGGCCATGCACACTTGCAGTATTTGGCCTTCATTTCACGTCTGCGGGCACCCCTCGGCCCACATGCACTCCTGTTGCCCTTCACACACCCACCACACCCTGACAGGCCATGGACACCATACTGGGACTCATCCACATGCTGGTCCTATTCCTCCAGCTGTCAGCTTGTCCCAGGTCCAGACCCCTCAGGTCTTTGCACCAGCCACGTGGGATGGCTGCCCTGAGCTGCCCCACAACTCCCACCACGCCTCGCTCCACAGCGCTGTAGCTAGGCTGCCTGCATCTTTCTCCATCACGCAGGCCCAGGGCCTCCTCACTTCAGGACAGCCCTGAGATCCCCTCAGGTCCTGTGGCCTATCCATCTCACCTCTGGCCCACTGACTGCAGCCGTCTTCCCTGGACTTGGATCAGGCCTCGTGTCTTGCGTTCCCTCTGCTAACAGTCCCAGAGACGGTTAGCATGGGGGAGACTCTGCTGCAGCTCAGCTCTGGGGACGTGAGACCTAGGGCACCACAGCCCATCTGGGCTGCTGCTCTGGGTTGGTTCTTGCCAGTGCTGCTCACAGTCACACTGGCACCTCCAGTGCCAGGTAAGCAGGGAGAGCTTGGCTCGCTTCTAGGGCAAGGGGTTCTTCTGGGGGGCTCTGGGCAGCTGAGCTGGAGCACGATGCTGCAAGGAGGTTGTGCTCCCCTCTGAGTGGCCCTGCAGCTTCTTGGACTTTGCGGCTGAGAGGGTAGGGAGAGGCCAAGGGGTTGCTGCCTTACGGGAGGCTGCGCCTGGAGTGAAGCTTCTGGCTTGGGGGACGAGCCCTGCACTCCGGTCCAGTTCTGCTCCATGTGTTGAGGAGCAGGGGATTCCTCCGGGGCTGGTGCTCCCATGCATGGAACTGCAGACGGACCCAGCATAGGGACTGCAGTGTAGGGGGTCGCATATCTAGTTAGTGTCTTTCCGTGGTGTGGCCCCAGGCTTTGTCTGCAGCAGAGGCCCGATCCCATCCCAGCAGAGGCAGTCAGTCTCTATGCCTCTGCCATGAGATCGCTGCTTGCCTGGAACTCCCGATTTGGGCTTCCCCAGAGGAATCCATGAGCCCCTATGGGGCTGCAGCAGGTGCAGGGCCTATGGGGCCCCTGCACTGCCCAGAACTCTGGGATGCAATGAGGCAAGGGCTCCTCCCTGGACACATGGGTGCCTTGGCCGCCTGCACACATTGGGACAAGCTCAAAGTCATTCCCCCTCCCCCCCACAACACAGAAATCAGGAGACATCAAAGCTCAGCTCAGACCTCCTCCGCAGGCAAGGCAGACCCTGGCTCAGCTCACACCCTAGATCTCCTCCGTCTAGAGCTACTCTCTCTCCCTCTATTTCATGCCCTGCCTTATTGTCCCACCACCCTTCCCCAGCAGGACTCAGGCAGACTCGCTGCCCTGGACCACCTGGGATCTGGGCCCCCCAGTAAAAATACAGCTCAGAAATCACATCAGCCCTCACACAGCAGCAGCACTGCCCTCTGCACAGACCCCTGGGTGGCACAAGAGCCAACCCCAACTCTGCTCGTCATACTCAGCCCCTGCCCAAGTGCTCACAGACCTAGGGGGTTTATAGATTCATAGGGCTATAGATTCATAGATTCATGGATTCATAGATTCACGTGGGTTGCCATGTGCTTAGAAACTCGGGCAAGTTCAGAGCAGGTCAGTTAACAACTCCTGTCAGTAACTGCGGGTGTGGGGGAGAGGGGCTGGAGGGCAGAGGGCTCTGGCTCAGGGGCTCACAGCAGCAGTGGCGAGGCCCAAGACAGACACTGCCCTGGGGAGAGGGTCCAGGGACATGTGTGAAGAATGTGTCCCACTTGGGAGCTCTCAGCTGCACGTGAATGGCTCTGGCCCCACACTGCACCACCGCTAGCTCAGGCTGCTGTCCCCTGTCCTGAAACAGCACGAGTGTCTCGGGGAAACATCAGACTAGAAAAGCCACAGCCTCCTCTGCCTTGTCAGTGGCTGGAGCGCTTTGCCTCACAAGGTGGCAGGATGTGGTCACACCAGGCACGTGCACACTATTCCAGGAACCCACGGACGGGCAGAGTGACAGGCAATCACAGACACAGTCACCTTGTCAGGGAGGAGCCGCAGGGAGGCAGGAGCAGACAGGTATGGTAGCAATAGATTGGCATGCCAGGCCTTCACCCTGAGAGGCCTGAGGTATAGCCATTCAGAAAGGGTGGGGGGAAGGAAGTTTTGGGTAAACAAGCGCTTACATGCACACTGGGGGCGAGCTCTGGGCACTTTCTGAACCTGGGAAGAAGGTGATGCTCTGGGGGATTAATATGGGGCAACAAAAAGGGATGCTTTGCTCAGGCTAAGTGCAGCTGAGGGAGCCATCCCGCGTGGGCTGTCGCTGATCCCTGGGCTCAGCCGTATCGCATGTGTCTGTCCAGCACTACAGCATGGTTGCTATGCGGGTACAGGGGCTGGCATGCCTGGCAGGCTGCTATCTGACATGCAATGGATATCTCACTGTGGTATTTCAGAGCATTCGCTTGCAGTAACTGGATGACTGCCCTTGGCCCTTGGATTGTAGCCAAGTGACGGACATGGCCAATCGGATTCCCATGCAAGGCAGGCACGGCGCCACGGCTTGAGGGCAGTTGTCATGTGCCTGACAGGGCACAGGCCTAGCACAGGGGAGAGGACACCAACACTCCCCACATCTCTGTCAGGCAACAGCAGGACCCTCTCCCTCTGCCTCAGCTGAATGTGCCCGTAACAGCAAGGTCAGGTGCACAGGTGGTATCTGCCTACAAGAGCCTGTCCCACCACAGAGCCTGGGTTGCTTCCCTCAGCCATGCGGACTGGGACTCACCATGAGCAATGGTCTTCCTGAGCTCCAGCAGGCTGCGGAAGGACAGCGAGGCCACGTGGGGCTTCCCCCATCGTGCCGTGTCCTCCTCCACGTCCTCCTCGAACTTGATCCAGCGTGCTGTCTCCCTCCAGTGCATCTCCTGGTTCTTGTCCACCACCAGCTCGTTCAGCTCCACAAACACCTGTGGGGAGCAGAGCATGGGCGCAAAGACCTGACCAGCTAGGCAGCTCTGGTCCCCGCTCCTCTGCACCAAGTCACCGCAGAGCATGGGGCCAAGTGCAAGGCCCTGGCCTTATTTTTAAGTTGCCAACCAGCCAAGGAGCAGGATTGTGCCTTTGCCTACCCCGGGCTGGGTGAATGGACTCAGCAAGAATGGATCTCAGGCAGACGTGGCAGGAGGTCTGACCAGCACCTGCCTACTTGCTTCGAGCCAGGCAGCCAAGATCAGACGTGCCCCGAGGGGCACAAATGACGCCATCCAGCATCTCTGGTTGTCTGTGCCACAAGGACTTCACCATCTCCACTGAGCAGTGCCCAAGTGGGAGACCCCCCTTCCGCCTCAGGGCCATGATGGCATTGGCAGCTCCCAAGATCGCATCGGGATCCTTGGGAAGCTTGAGGCTTTTCTCCCAGCTGGAGTCATGATTTGGGAAGAATCTCAAAGAAATACTGAGATAAACAAGTTCTTTCCCAGATGTGGAGAAGAGCTTGAAAATGTGACCCTCACGAATCGGCAGCTGTAAAAAAGCCAGCAAGCCCCACAGGCATCCTTTTACAAAGCTCATGTGTTTCCCCACCCCCACCCCACCCCAATTTCTGGAACCCAGTACATGACCACAGACACAAGGAGAGTGGGGAGAGGGAGAGGGGAAGTCATGTACCTAAGGGCAGGTCCAGGGCTGGGGGGACTGGTGCATTTGCACCCACCATTGATTCCTGCTCCACCCAAAATTTAAACCCAGTTTCCTGGCAGTGGCAGCAGCATTTCTAGTGAAGCAGGGACAAGAGTCACTTGACAGCCTGGCTCCTTATTATAATCCACCTGATCCCCTCACTCCACAGGTGCTGATGACCCTCTCTTCTGTTTAATTGTCTCGATGTTCCCCTTTCTTTTGCCGTTCGCTGGCTGCTAGCTGCTTCTGGGAAGGAAGCTCCTATTTCACAGCTCTGCACGTTTTTAACTCATGCCAGTGAAATTCTGTTTGTTTCTGCTTTGATCTTATACTGAATAATACAGTCCCAGGCCCTTCATGTTAGCAAAGCTTCTAGTGTCTCTTTAACTGGAGAAACATGCGTCATGTTATGTGTGACGATGCACCTCGCCATCTGCACCCCCACCCCTTTGCAAAATCCTAGATCTGCTCATGCATGTACCTCATGGGGCCGCCGGTCCAGCTTCTTCTTCTTCTTCTTCTTCTTGACTGATGGAGCTGTCACCATCTTTTTGCTTGTCCTAGTGATCTGGCTCCGAGATGGTTTCTTCACCAGATGCCTCCTGACACCAGGGTTGTCTTCAAAGCGGTGGCCTGGGGGTGCAGGGAGGAAGAAAAGACAAAATACTGGGTGAGCAGAAACGTCCTGGCAGGTAGGGGATGCCCAAACACACTGTCTGCTTCTCGCTGCTGCTGGTAGGTGCAGTGCGGCCACGGCACTTGCACTCCAGAGACAAACTCTCAGAACCTATCAACTGGCGCTTCCAGGGGCTCCTTGCATCTTGGGATGCCACCTCCTGTGACAACCACAGCTAGCCCGAGGGCCTTTTAGTTTGTACAAGACTCATTCAGCAGTTGGTGAAAGCTGCAGGGAGTAAATGAACCCACAAAACTCCAGCACCTCCCCAAACAGCATCCATGTTACAGAGCACCTGATGTGGGATGGCCCCTTTGGGAAGAGCTGCTGACCTCCTCACCCACAACGGGGCCCCTGTACGCTCTGTGGTTTGCTCAGCAGCACCGTGGGGGGAAGGTAGTTGGCTTGGGGGAGGTGAGTCTTGACACCCCAAGGAGGGGAGCACTTTGTGCTACGTGCCCCCATTAACCTGCTCCTGGGGACCAAGAGACAAACAGCCCCAGAGATAGGCTCTGACTGGCTGGGCCTGTGGCCTTGATGCTGTTATGGGTCTGATGAAGCCCTGCAGATGGGATTTGGATGTTCCCAGCCATGCCCTCAATGCCCTCCACACAGGGAGAGCACTTGGGCTCTGGCTAACCCCCGTGTAGCACAGGTGGCAGGGATGGCTCCTTGGGTGGCACATGCCAGTGTTGGCTGCAGAAATCTGGGTGATGGTGCGGGAGGCTGCGGTGCAATAGTGAGGAAACCCCCAGGGCAGAGTGCCAGCTGCTGTTCACTCCAGCTGCCCCAACCGGTGAGAGATCAAACACCCGCTCTCCTGTAACTCCGAACAAGGCCCACTGGCCAATAGGCAAGGGCCTGAGCTCCCACATGGACGTGCCCCCCATGCTGGCAAGGCTCCACACAACCCTGGTGACCACAGCATCGGCTGCTCTTGCTGTACCAGAAATGCAGTGCCCAGATGCCGGTGTGCTGCCGAGAGCTCCCTTGACCCTGCCCAGGCCTGGGGGTGGTGAAGCTTCCCTGCCACAGCCAATCACTGGGTGCCATCAGACTGAGGATGCTGCTTCCCATCTCACTGCTGTCCCTGGAGGTGGCCGAGACCCCCTGGCCCCCAGAAGCTCATCAGGGAACAAAGTGCATCTTCCCCCAGGACTCTCGAGGCAGCCCTGCCCAGGGTGAAGCAAAGGGCCAGTGTCTCCTCGCCCATCTCAGTGGCTGAGGGAGCTTCACCCCTTAGCAGCGGATGTGGGGGTAGTTGAGAGGGGCACCGGAGCTTCACCCCTTAGCAGCGGATGTGGGGGGAGCTGAGAGGGGCACAAGACTTCACTGTGCAGCAAGGCAGCCACAGCAGGACACCCATCTCCCTCACCTCAGCAACATGCTCAGCCCCCAGCCCCAGGAAGGGGCTCCAGCTCCGGCCTTGCTCTCAGGAAAATGGGTCACTACACTAAATAGAAACCAGATCCATACGGTGCCGGCAGGGATTTTCCCTCATGGACTGCACTGGCAATGTGAGTCCTGCTGACAGCTGGCGGCCTCTGCTTGCTGCAAAGCCAATAACTGCCCATTGACACCCATGTGCTGCTGCTGGGCTGCGGTTACCACCTGGGCGCAGGGCGCCTTTCATGCAGGTTTGCCCCTGTGAGCATGTCCCAGCACAGGCACAGCCGTGTTACAAACCTGCGAGCGTGCGCAAGATGTACACCTATGATGCTTCTGCTTCCATGTTTCCCCAACTTCTGACCCTGTCCCAGCCCCTGGCTTCAGTGTCGCACAACACAACATCCTCCCTGTGGGGCAGGGAAGGCCTCTCAATCCCCACTTGGCAGATGCAAATGGAGCTCCAGACAAACAGTGCGACTCCCCTGCAGTCACGTGGCAAGTCTTCTTGTGGGGAGCCCCGTTCCCACACCGGCACCTTACAAGTGCCCCAAGGGGCAGCTCTCGGCAGCCTGCCCTGCAGTCGCACAGCCTCCAACAGGGCCCTGGTGAGCCTGGCTGAGCACCTGCCTGCAAAGTCAAGGAAGCAAAAGTACCTTCTGAGCCCTTCTGGTGCAAACTGCACTGCTCATGCTGGGTCAAGGCCTGGGTAAAGCTGCTGCTTTGGGACCTCTGTGGGAGCAGGCAGTGGAACCACAGACACCTGCCACGTGCACCACAGCCGCCTTCTCTTCCGTCATTGCCACCAGAGCACAGGCAGGAAGTGGCATGCGGGTACTATGGCGACATCTAAAAATAGGGCACCAGTATCAATGCTGGAGGACATGACACCAGCTTATCAGGCCATCGGCAGAGCCGTCTGGCTGCCAAGTGCCCGACAGAGAGATGGAGCCTCAGTGCCCGGAGGGAGGGCCAGGCGGGAGCCTCCTGGCTTCAGCCGTGGAGCTAGACTGAGCACATCACATGATAGGATGCACATGCAGGAGCATCAGAGCTGCCACGCACAGGCTGAGACCACAGGTCCACCACCCCGTCTCCTGTGCCCCATGGCACCCAGAGTGGATGCTGAAAGACAGGGCAAACTGGGTCTGACCAGGGTTTTTCCTGTTCCTCTCTCACTTGCAGCCTCCAACACTTAAGGTCCAGGAGGCTCCGATTCAGAGGCTGTGCCCTCACTGCCCTGCTCAGTAACTCCTGATGGAGCTGTCCTCCAGTCAGACACCTTCCCACACTGGCTGCTCACACTGCCAAGGCTCCCCATCTCTCAGGGTGCTGGATGGCACCAGGACTTGTGTAAACACACATGTACTTGATCTGCCCCCGTGCACAGCAGCACTGCAGTGGTCTGCAGAAGGCCCTGCCAAGCCCAGGACCTTGCAGGGCTGGGTGCTGCCCAACACTGATGGGGCCCAAGTCTCTGGAGACAGCAGCCCTTTGCCAAGGACCCACAGGGAATCCATGGCTGACTGGAGTGCAATGCCTGCTGTGCCCCAACATCACCTGGGGGGTCCCCTCCAGACTGTCCTGCCTCTCTCCTTCGAGTGCAAGCAGCGTGGGCTCAAGGCCAGGCCAGGCCAGGCCATCCACTGGTGCACATATGTGTGATGTCCCAGGAAATAGGACCACAATCCTGACAGGCTGTTGGGCAACACCCACCACCTGATACCTGTCCTTCCTTGCCTTCTCTCATCCTGTTCTCTCTGTGCCACCAGAGCCTGCCTGCTGGCCCACAGCAGGGTTCATGCCCACATCCATACCCATGTCCTCAGACTGGAGGCTCCCGTACACCACTTTATCCCTTCCCCATCTCTAGCCCATACCAAGAACCTGATACCATCAAGGCTACAGCCTGATCCGAGGACCCAGCTCATATTCCAGCACCCGGAAGACGTTGGTGCTGGCAGCCAGGGGTCCTGGCCCCAGGCCCCGTGCGTCCTGCTAACTCCAAGCTGCACTAGCTTTGTGCCAGAGACAGAGGTGAACTATCATGGCTTCAGTCAGGGCCACTTGGGGACTGGTGTCCACAGCCAGAGGATGGAGATGGCTCAGAACATGCTGAGAACAGCCAGCATGCTGCAGCTGCACCCAGCATGACTCGGGTAAGACACTGACTAAGAAACACTTCACCGCAGCATGGCTAGGGCTGGACAGATACCAGAGACAGACAGAGATGCACAGACAGCAGGCAGCTCCTGCAGAGCGTGCAGATGTGTGTGCCCAAGAGCACACGCCCCTCGGGGGTACCTTGTCTGAGATGCAAGGAGGGTGGCCAGGCAGCAAACAGGGGGCAGGGCTTGGGGCTTGCACCTCCCGGCCGCCACGCAGGGTCCCTGGTCGGGTACTTACAGATGGGGTCCCCATCAGGGTAGCCCAGGTGGTTCCTGATGGCTTCCCATAAATCATAATCCTCAAAGTTGAAGGCAAACTCCTCAAAGTCCTCGTAGCCCGTGGAGTTGTGGGCATGAACGCCTGCTCCTGCCTCTGGGCTGCTGTCCCCACCTGCCTCCTTCACTGCCTCCTCTCCCTCCTGGATGGCTGTCATGATGCCCTGGGAAGCTCAGGCGTCAGTGCAATGAGCTGCCTGCCAGGCTTGCGAGAGGCAAGGGGCACAGCCAGTCTGAGCACTAGGGACGCACTGCCTGGGATGCAACCGGTCAGGACTTCATCAGAGCCATGGAGCTGGCTGTGCCCGTGCCTGCTCCCTCCAGCTGCCAGAGATGCCAGCGCAGCAGCCCCTAGAGGCAGACAAGGTCCTGGGGCTGGAGAGCTTTGCTGCAGGAGGGCTGCGGCCCCCCCCAGTGCATGGGGCCACAGGGCCCCCGGTCTGCTGTAGGTGCCCAATGGAGGCCCAGAGCTGCTGTGCAGGCAGCTGTCTGCTTCTCTCCCTGGCTCCCCCGCGGTGTCTCCTCCCTCCCCAGCCTGAAAAGCAACCTATTGAATTCTCCATGTCCTCAGGCCCTGAGCAGGCATTTCCATGACGTCTCTGCTCCCTGCTCCCACAGCACACGGGGCAGCCCTGGAGGTACTTGGGCAGGGGTCTCTGCTTCTCCACAAGGGGATGGCTTGTCATGCCCAGCTGCAGCAATGCCAGCACTCGCGTGGCACGCGAGGGTGCTGACAACCAGGAAAGTGTGTCAAGAGGAGAGCTCTGTCACCCAGGGATGTGCAGGGAGTCCTGAAATCAACAGGGTGATGGGGCAGCCGAGGAAATGCCTAGAGCCAAGGGGCTGAGGCAGGCAGGAAGGTTCAGAGCAGCTTGGGAGCAGAGGAGAGGGAGCCTAGGACTGGGAAAGCAGGGGGCTGCAGGACTGGATGGAGCAGTGCAGAACCTGGGGCTGAGACAGCAGGGGCCATGGGTTGGGGTTGAGGGCCCTGGGTATGAGAAGCATTGAGACAGAGGGACAATGAGTGCAGCTAGCTCACAGCTGGGACAGCAAGGGCTGCGGGTCTGGAGAGAGGGGCACTGTGCTGGGCAGGGAGCCTGGGTCTGGGGACAGCAGGGGTGGTGGGTGCAGTTTGCAGGGCACCATGAGAGGTGAGGAGAGAAGGGGCAACCTCAGGCCTGGCTCTGGTGGGGGAAGGTGTGGCCCACAGGTCTAACTCGCAGAGGCAGGGGCCCAGGCACAGGCAGGGCAGCACTGCACCATGCCGCAAGGCTCACTTTTCATGCCGTCCAGGTCGGCGGATGCCAGCATCTGGGCCTCGGCCTCGTCGGTGGGCACGCGCTGATAAGCTGCACTGTCCAGTGTGGTCATGCTGCCGATGCACATCCGCTCCTTCAGGTCATAGCTCACACGCTGCCCACTCACCACCTGGCTCCAGGGCTTCCGCTTGTCCCAGCCCCGTGACAGGCACTCCCTGGGCCCCGGGAGGCTGCAGAGACAAGCAGGTGCCTGGCAGCGGCTAGCAGCATGGGGAGGAAGGGGGAGGCACTCCCAACCCAGCTCCCTTGCAGGCACTCCAACCTCCACCAAGGGTGGAGGTCTTTGGCCCCAGGCCTGGCAAAACCATGCATGGCCCTAGGCATGCCAAGGTCTTTCTCCAGGAACACCCAACTTACAGCCAGGAATGGCCCCTGCCGCTGCCAGGAGACCTGCTCCCTTCCCAGTGGTGAAAGAGGCCTCACAGCCACCAGGCTCACAGTGGGCCCAGGCCTGGTCTGCAAGCCCTAGCGCTGTGGCCCTGCCCATGGGTCAGGAGCCAGGCACAAGAGAACAGGGAGGGAAAACAGACAGCCCCACCCCTCACCATGGTGCCCAGCAGTGCCCCCAGAGCCCTGACCTGGGGACCAGCTGGTGCCTGGGCAGGGTGTATGGCCTCCAGCATTGCCTCTCATCATGTACCCCAGCCCCATCAGCCTGTGGGACGACAGCGAATGGGATGCAGAAGGTAGGGAGCCCACCATGTTGGCATGTACACCAGGCAGCAATGGAGCCTGCCCAGGCCATGCTGCTCACCTGTGGAGCGAGGCTGGGCTCCGGTCCTGAAGAAGGTGGGTGAGACGCAGCCTAGGGGACAGGACACCGCACTCCTCATCCACGTGGAACCACGTCGTGGCTGTGGCACTGTAGGCGTCATCCTCGTCACTCCCGATGGTGAACTGTGGAGAGGAGACCCTGGGAGCTCGGACCAGCCTTGACTTGAGGGCAGCTACCAGGCTCAAGCTCACAGCTTCCCACCCACCCTGCTGTGGAGAACATACCCCTGTCCCTAGACCAGCCGGGGCACCAGTCTGCGGGAGCTTGCCAGCTCCCCCCCACAGCCTTGCCTTTGGCTTGCCAGGGGACCCCAGTCTGGGAGACGCCTCCTTCCCTGGGGCCTCTGTCTCCGACTCCGGGGAGGCCACCTTCTCCAGGGCCTCCTCGGCCTCCGATTCGCCGTCCTCCTCCTCCTCTTCTTCCTCCTCCTCCCCTGCCTCCGTGCCCTCCTCATCCACCTCCTGGATGGTGGGGGTGACCTCTGAGGGGGGCACCGAGGTCTTCTTCTTCTTTCGTTTCCTCCTCTTCCTCCGGCTGGCACGGGGGTGCCGCTTCGGGAACTTGAGGGCAGGTGGCAGGTGGGTGGAAAGCGGGTGGTGGATGTGGTGAGAGGTCTGACGATGGACTGAGAGACAGCAAGAGTGCGGCAGTCATAAGAACACGAGAACTACCATTTCCTGGGTCACAGACCCACATTGCCCCACCTCCTGCAGCATACCTACAGGCTGGGAAACTCCCTTCTCATCAGCACAGAGGCAGAAAAGGATCTTGGAGTCGCTATTGATTCCAAGATGAACATGGGCCGCCAATATGGGGACACGGTCAGGAAGGCCAACCACACCTGGTCACGCATCCACAGATGCATCATGAGCAGGTCCAAGCAGGTGATCTTCCCCCTTTATGCGGCACTGGTCAGGCCGCAGCTGGAGTACCGCATCCAGTTCTGGGCGCCGCACTTCAGGAGGGATGTGGGCAGCATGGAGAGGGTCCAGAGGAGGGCCACCCGCATGATCAGGGGTCAGCAGGGCAGGACCTACGAGGAGAGGCTAAGGGACCTGAACCTGTTCAGCCTCCACAAGAGGAGGTTGAGAGGGGATCTGGTGGCTGTCTATAAACTGACCAAGGGGGACCAGCAGGCAATGGGAGAGTCCCTGTTCCCTTGAGCACTACCAGGAGTAACAAGGAATAACGGCCATAAGTTGACTGAGAGTAGATTCAGGCTAGATATTAGGAGGTGCTACTTCCGTCAGGGTGGCTAGGATCTGGAACCAGCTTCCAAGGGAAGTGGTGCTCACTCCTACCCTGGGGGTCTTCAAAAGGAGGCTAGATAAGACACCTAGCTGGGGACGTTTGACCCCAGCATCCTTTCCTGCCCATGGCAGGAGATCGGACTTGATCTGCTCAGGTCCCTTCCGACCTGACCAAGTATGAAACTATGAAACTATGCACTGGCTCCATGGCAGGCTACAGCCAGGCCTGGATCTGACGAGTTATTGGCAGAGGTACTCCTCTACTGGGCACCTGCTCTGGGCTGTGGCCTGGCCAGGATGCTGCCCGTGGGTCCTTTTGCTCCCACTCTGGCTTATCAGGGGAGCTTGCTGTTTGTTTCTCTGCATCTGCCCAGCCCCGGCTCTGCTGAGGAAGCTGTGAGTAGGAGTTGGGACTGTGGGGGGCAGGTGGGTTGCAACTTCTCATGCTTCAGCCAACGGGCAGAGCTCTGGTTCCTTCCTTCAACCTGCTCCTCAGTCGTTTGAGTCAAACAGGCACAAACCAAACCAAAGAGGTCCAGGAGCAGCTGATGGACCCCCCCCCCCAAACTCTGCTGCTGCAGCTCTCTCTCCCTTGCTCTTTGCCACAAACCCCCAGGGTGGCCAGACCTGAACTACTCCAGAAACAAGAGGGAAAACAAGACTCTGCAGGTCTAAAACCACACAAGCCCCCAGGGCCTTTTCTCCAACCCCCAGTGCTAACAGGGCTGCGAGGCTGGGTTTTTCCTTTGTTGGTTCACAGAGAAGTCATAGAAAATGCAGAGAAGTGGAGCTGGAAGGGACCCACATAGATCATCCTGTCAAACCCCTGCAAGAGGCAGGATCATCCCTGTCCAAACCAGTCTACCCTCTTATCACAGCTACTGTCAACCCTGACACAACACAACAGCCAATGTCCCCTGAGACAAATGGCGTGGGCTGGACAGAGCAGGTGCAGCCTCCGAGCCACTGGCCAGAATCAAGAGTCTGCAGTTCTCAGCCCAGACCTGAGCTGGTAGCAGGTGGGCGTCAAGCCTCGTGGGCACCGTGCCTGGCCTTTGCGCTCCACTGACGGTGGACACAGTACCCCCACAGGGACACCCATCTCAGAGCTGCTGGGACCCGACTCCCCTCTCAGCTCAGCCCCTCCACCTGCTCCACCCCCCTGTGAGCAGCTCCTCCCCGCTTCCCAAGCCCCACTCTCCTGCCCCCCTCTCTTGCATGGCCCCTCCGCCTCAAAAGCTCTGCTCAGCAGCAGCTCAGTCATAGACTCGGGCACTGAGGGCCGGAAGGGACTTCAGGAGATCACATCGAGTCCAGCCCTCTGATCAGTGCAGGACCAGCCCCAACTACATCATCCCAGGTAAGGCTTTGTCTAGCCAGGTCTTAAACACCTTCAAGGATGAAGATTACACAACTTCTCCGAGTAACCCATTCCAGCGCTTTACTATCTTCCTGACGAGAAAGTTTTACCTAATATCCAACCTCAACTTCCCTTGCTGCAGCTTGAGCCCATTGCTCCTTGTCCTGTCATCTGCCCCCACTGAGAACAGCCCAGCTCCGTCCTCTTTGCAACCCCCTGCAAGGAGTTGAAGGCTGCTATCGAATTCCCCTCAGTCTTCTCTTTTCCAGACTAAATCAGCCCAGTTCCCTCAGCCTCTCCTCACCAGTCATATCTCCCAGCCCCCCTAACCATTGTCGTTATCCTCCACCCGATATTCGCTGCCTCTCTTAAATCTGTCTTCAGCCTGAAGAGGTATTGACACAAGGAAAGAGCCCACAATAGCTACAGTGCAGCAACTGTCCCAGGCTCGCTCTCTGCGGGAACCTCCATCCCACGCTGCAAACTCCTCTGTACCAACCGGCCAGGACATTGGCAGGGGATTAAATGACAGCACGAAGATTCACTGCATGTGGAAAAGTCTCCACAACAGGAGACGGTGAGGAGCAGCCACCAAACTTCGCTCACTCCCACCTGGTTCTGAAGGAGCTCCCTGTGCACATGAGACCCACCCCGATTCAGGTTACTGTTCTGACTCTCAGAGGCAGGAGCAACACTGGAGCTGTCTGCCTGCAGGCTCAGGAAGATGGCGGGGCTTGGGGCCGTCACTGGAAATGTGCTTGTCGCCACAAGGCCAGCAGCTTAAACCTTGAAACCCTGCTGAAGAGGCGGGGCTGGTCCCCGCCATGCAGATGGAGAAGGAAGAGGGGCTGCCAAGGCCACGGGCATACAGTAACGTGGATGGGAGCGGGGACCCATTTTGTGAACAGGAAGAGGCAGGGTCAGGCAAGGGGCTGCCAGCACCAGGACTGGGCTCACACAGCCACTTTGTGAGCAGTTGCAGCAAAGGGGCAAATGGGAGAATGGGGCTGCAGAGCGCGCTCAGGAAGAGACGGTGCCCGGGGTGGGGGTGGGACACTTTGGGCTAAGGGGCAGTACCGGGCATGGGGCAGGAGGGGTTCGACCCTACGTACATTCAAAATCTCTTTCATTGTAGCTGCGTTGCTGCTTCTCCAGGTCTCTTGCTGCCGACTTGCTTATCAGGTCCCCGAACCTCTTGATGGACAAGGTCTTATCCAAGTCCTCGTCGTCCTCGGCGCTGGCAAAGCCTCTCTTGGCCCCATTGCCTCCCTGTGCAGAAGCCACCGGGGAACAATCAACCCCTGCAGCTCTCTGCCACCCCCAAGCCCCGGCGCCCTGTGGACGCCTCGTGCTGCACTCTGGGGCTACGTGGGACCCTTGCCCACGCTGCTGCAGCTCCATCCTGGGCACAGGGCCCAGCACCCAGGCCCAAGGCATCCCCCACCACCACACTGTTCTGATAGGCAGCAAACCCATCCAGCAGCAGGAGGCTCCCTTCCCTCACCCCAAGCTGCTGCCCTCCCTGTGGAGCCAAAGTGAATTTTCCTCCCCAAGTTCCCTTTGCAAGTGTGAGACAGGGACCCTGCCCCCTCTCTGCTGGTGCCCCTTGCCTTTCCTGGGCCCCCCTCCGTGACCGGGCCTTGTCCCTAGCCTCAGGGGCTAGGACCTGCTGTCCCTCTGCCCTTTGCCTCAGGTGCAGGTGCCTCTGCTCTGCTGCCCTGCGCAGAGCTGCTGCTTCAGCCCCGTCCACCACCCGTGCGACAGCAACTGGGAAAATTTTCCGTCAGCAAAGCCCGAAATGCCAGCGCTGAGCTGCTGTGGACTCCTCTGTTTCCATGGCAACGGGAGGAGGCCCAACTGTGACAGATCCAAGCCAGAGCAGGGAGCACAAGTCTGTGGCCCCGGCCCCTGGCTGGGAGAGAACAGCCTGGAGCCACCTGCAGACAAGCTCCAGCAGGGAGCAACGTGCATCTGGTGCCCCTCGCAGCTGCCCTGCCCCACCTCCACCCCCACGGGGGTTCACAGGGGAAGAACAGCGACGACAGTGCAGCTGGGACACGCAGCCCAGGCAGGGGCCTGGGCACACGGGCTCCCATAGGCAAGAGCATCTGCAGAAAGACCGTTCCTCAATCCTACGTGTCTCGGTGTCTGGTTGTCTGTCTGTAGCCTCCCTGAGCGGCGTTCGCCACAGAACCTGGGGGTTAGCTGCCACGAGGCAGCCCTTGGGGCACCCGGCTCCAGCGACAGAGCCCCAGTTGGACGCCACCTGATGGTGGTGCTTGCACCTGGGAGGCCCAGGACCCGGGGGGCTGCCTGGTTCCCTCCTCACCTGCTGCAGGTTGACGAAGACCACTTCAGCAGGGGGGGACTCTCCAGCTGCCATTGTGGTTCAGGGCTTCGGGGCCAGAGCAGTGGTCAACCCTTCTCTTTCTCCGCCAGGTGCCCAGCGAGTCTGAGGAGTGGCATCACCTGCAGAGAGGACAGGACATGGTGTCAGCAAGTGGACATGGACCTGCCAGGGGACGCTGACATGCCCACCCCATCCCGTCCCTGCCACGTGCAGGGATCTGCGCCTCACTCCCTCCCCTGCTGAATCTCCCCATGCCTTAGTGCCCAGCATGGCTTTGCACTGGGAAAACAGGCAGTTCCACAAGGGACTGCAAGTTGGGGAGAAGGCCTGGCCCCAACTTCTCCCTGCCCCCTCACAGGCAATTTGGCGCAGGGGCTGCGGAGCCCTGGGCTGTGAGGGCAGGATGGCACAACAGCGCGATGCTGTGCCGCAGACACCAAGTCTGGAAGCTCCAGAGGGGGCTGCAAGGGTCGTCAGTGGGACCCAAAGACATCAGGGGAACGGGCCGTGAACAGGCAAACGGGTTGGTGCTGCCCAATGAATGCGACACGTGTGCCAGGGGAAACTGTGCACAGCAAACAGGGGCCTGAGAGTCCCCATGGACGGTTCCTCTGTGTAACCGCAGAGGAAGGCAGCAAACCAGGGGACGTGATGCAGGAGAACAGGGTGAACAACAGATCACAGCACAGTGACCCCATTTTATCAGCCGAGGGTGCAGCCCCACGAGGGACTCCACTGCAGCACTGCCCCTGTCTCCAAATGGGCAGGGCAGCGTTACAGGCAAGGTAGATGGGCACGGGGAACATTACCGGGAGAGGGGATGATCGGGAGGGGCGAGGGCAGGAGTGGGCACCGCGAAGGAATGAACAGGGAAGACAAGGGAGCCGGGGCTCTGTTGCATCCAAGGAAACTAAAAGCTGAAAATACAAACAAATTAAACACGAAAATCTTTTTTTCCTGAGACGTCACTGAGGCAAAAAAGCTCAGGGAAAGGTTCTAGCTGCTTTCAGATGCTGATCAGCTCATGCCAGTCTGGTCTGTCGTCCTCCCCCACCCCGCCCCGGCTCCATACGCTGCTCCTTCTCGGGCTCAGATTGCTCCTGCAGGTGTAGAGGCTGGTGGCAGGAAAGGCCCACGCAGGCAAACTGAGCCGCCTCGTGGTGCCCGCGCCAGTACAGATGGAACAGGAGACACGTCTGCAACGCGATACAGCTGCAAAGCAGCGTGTGTGCTTCTGAGCCGTGCAGACAGGAGATGACTGTCCCCATCTGTGCGGCTCCAGCGCAGCCGTGCACGGGGCACCGTGTGCGATTCCAGGCACCACCGTGCCAGGAAGGCACTAGGAACAGGCATGCAGTCTGGTGTACTGGCCGAGGGGAAAAGGAGCGAGCTGGGGGCTGTGCCAGGTGCACCGGACACAGGTAATTTAGACTGGGGAAGAAGGAAAGGCTCTTGTGAGGGAACTGACAACGCTGGACGACCAGGGAACACAGGGCCGCACATGTTCTGGGTGAAACCCTGGGTTCCCCAAAGCCAAAGGAGCTTTTTCCACGCAATTCAAGGGAGCCAGAAAGAATAAAACAAGTCCTGCATGCACCTGCCTGGGCTCTGTGTTAGCCAGCGTCCCTCAGGCACCAGACCCAGACAGCTCAGGAGAAACACGCCCGTCGCCCTCCCAAAGTCCGAGAACCAAACACCAGGTGCAACGGCCCGGAGGAGACACGAAGTGTTTCAGGGCAGAGCAGACCACCAGGCACCTTCCCCTGGGAACTGCCATCAGTCCTAGTCACCTCATCCTGGTCTAAAGGGCTCAGAGATGGGCAGCCAAAACGAGGATCGACTGAAGAGACCCCAGCTGCTCACTTGAAGAGGGAGCACAGCTGTGTGCGACCCCCGAGAGCTTAACACAAGAACAATTAGCCACTCGGTTGAAGAGCGAAGGACACTTTAATACTGACAAAGCGAGCGCTTTATCACACAAGGCAAACTTAGCTGGAGGAGCTCATCTCTGCAGCACATCCAGGCTGAGGGTGAAGACAAACAAAGGGTCTGGGATGCGCGCCCCTCCTAGGAACATCCCCCGGCCCGCTGGAAGCCCCTGAAGAAATGGCAGGGCTGCAAACTTCCCGGCCTCTGGCCAAGGGGGCTGCAAAGGGTTTCCCTGCCGGGGGCGTCATGTCTGTGCTCGGGGCTGGGCACCCTTCTCCGTTGCGGGCGGCTCCAAGCAAGCTGGGGACGCGCCACTGGCTACACAGATGCCAGCCTCGTGTCTCCTGCTGTGCCCCACGCCGGGACGTGGACGAGACCCCAAAGGGCCGGCCTGCGAGGGGACGAGGAGCGAAGCGTACCGCGCGCAGGCAGCGATGACGCCGGGCACGTGCCAGCGGTCTACGGGCTCCGCGCAGGAACGGCACGGACGGGCCACGTCCTTCGAGGCCGAGACGGGGCGACAGGGGGATGCGGCTGAAACTGTCACTGGGGCAATCTGAGCTGAACGAGAGCAGAGGTGGTGGCAGTGGGTCCCACGGCCTGCCTCCGCCAGGCGAAGGACGCAAGAATGAGTCAAAACACGTGAAACGAGGAGACCTTGCTCCCTCGCACACCGCCCGCGGCTCTCCTGAGGGCAGGAGCCGACAGCACCGGGCAGGATGACCGCCGGCCGGCCGGACTCCAAGCGTCCCATCTTCCCGGCACGCGGGGCACGCGGCTCGGCTCGGCTCCCAGCTCTCGCACGCGCACACTTGGCTCCGTGCCCGGCCTGGGCACACAGGAGCCCGCCTCGCCTCGCCCCGCCCCGCCCCGCCGGCGACGCCTGCTC